TTCCGAAAAAAAAAACAAAAGAAAATATAAAGTATAGATATTAAAATACTAAAATATGTTTTTATATATTAAATAATTTATATTATTATTTTGGTTAATTCGGTTTACCAACCGAAAAGGCTACGTATTTCGGTTAACCAACCGAATAAACTAATATATTGGTTCAATTTTAATTTAGTTCGAGACAAAAGTTCAATTGATTCATAATGGGCTGTGAGTGCACAATAGCGTTAGACAAATTGCACATTAATAACTATCAAGATTGCACTTTAACATTTGCATATTTTTTATGTGAAATTATTATTTGTTTTTCAACGAACATAATATAAAAATACTAAATATTAAAATAAATATTATGTTTTAACATAAAAAAATAAGTTATTTTATAATATTTATAGTAATTCGGTTAAATGTTCGATTAAACTAAGTAATTTGGTCACTAAGTAATTTGGTAAGATTCAATTAGGTTTAGGACAAAGGTTCAGTCGATTACGATTGCACGATAACGGCCAAAATCATGCACAACAGTGTTGGACGAGTTGCACATTAATGTTTGTATGACAACACAAGAGCAAACGAAGCTTAGCGACTTGAAATTTTATGTTCAAATCTTTATATCTTAGTTCCACTATTTGCTTTTAATTTAGCGCATTTAATTATTTTAAATCAATATCGGCTTTATTTTAAAATTCTACATGACAATATTGTGTCTTTACTAATTTTTTAATAATTTGGTATAAATATTGTGCAAATTACTTATGAGTATTGTGCATTAATTAAGGTTTAATAAATTACAAATTTGACGTAAGAACTAAATTGCAATATAGTTATATTATTCTAATTTGCATTTTAGTCCATGGTACATGTTTAATTCTCAACATCAAGTCCTTCGTCCTATCAACACTCCATCCATGTCGTTCATCCCGTTCTGCCGGCAGAGCCCAGGTCCGCAAACTTCAGTGACGTGATAATGACACCGGATCGATCCCGGCGGCGAGGCCTGATACCTAACCCGTTGCCGGTGTATTGAGATCAACAATTAGGCGAAATTGTGATTAAGGGGTTTCCAATTAGTAACTCGCCGTCGACAACGGGAAAACGGCAGAAACTCGAAAGCAAACGGAGCACGCGTATCAGACCAAAAAAACGTCAGTCAAATGCCGATTTGAGCTCGCCGGGGAGAAGAGGCGGACGACGACCTTCACTGATGATTATCTGAAAAAGGGTGAGATAATTGAGAGATACATATAGATGGCGAGAGAGTGATGAAGGCGACAAAGATGGTGGCGATTGCGGCGACATCAGCGACGGTCGGTGGCGGGGACTGTCGTGTCGGTCCGGTGGCGGCGTGAGTGAAGAATTCATGCTTTAGGTGAGAGAAATTGTGAGAGACAGAGTGCTGAATCGGGTGGGTATGGGTGGGTTTTGGTGGGTCCCAGGAAGAGTATAATATTGTGTATTGTCTCCTTTACCCTTAATAGTGGTCAAATGAAAATATTTGACCATTATTTGTACAGTTAATTACAAAAGTGCCATCTTATATTTGACTAATATTAATAAAGTTTGACTTGATTATGGTTGTTGATTTGATAGATTGAATGATACAAATTTATTCTTATTTCTTTCATGGTGATTCATTCTCATTTGAGCGCATTTATATATATATATATATATATATATATATATGTATAAAGATACAAAATATAAAGGCGAATTTTGATTTATTCTACACTTTGGTAAAATATTGCAGATTTGTCATTGATCATCTTTATATTGCATATACACTAACTCTGGCATAGATATTTGCAGATATGTCTTATGTATCAGTTATCTAAAAAAAAGGTAACTGATGCCCTTAGTTCACGCAATCATCCGTACTTAGGGAAAATAAAAATATAATATTCTTAAGAGAGAAAAATACATAACATGCGCTAATATTATATGTTAAAAAATATATTGTCAACTAATGTTTAATGGATTGATAGAAAAAATAGAAAGAGTTTGACTTTGAATTTTAAACATCATCATCTTCCAAACAAATATACCAATCAAAAATCGAGAGCAACATTATTTCTGTCATGATCAAAAAATAGTTCTGTAAAATATACGATAAAAAAACATAGTGTCACTGAGATTGTATCGACGGGAACATATACTAACAATATACTGTATATAAACACAACATATACTATCGACATCGCAATGAGCCCGATCTTCAGCCTCTCCTTCGTCATCTCCAACTTCACCTCCTTACGAAGTATCACCACCTGCCCGTTCATGAACCCGATTAGACCACCGAGAACCAGCCACGTGCGAACCACCGAAAGTAGGCACCGCACAGATCTGGGCATTATCATGGTAGAGTTCATCAAATCATCTTTGCCACAGTCGCAAAAAGTCTGACGATATGAATCTTGTTGTCGGTCGAATTGAGGGACTACGTTGCTAAATCCAGAATTATGCTATGCAAAGTGAAGATCTTATATTTTGGGTTTAATTTGGAGAATATTTAAACATGGATGAAATGTTATGTGAGGGTTACTTGATGAAGAAGATGATGAATGAGAGGATTAATTAGATAGAAATTAAAATTAAGCTGATTTGGAGAACTAAATAAATAAAGAATAATTAATGGATAAAGGAGAAGAGATGGATAATTGAGCGAAAAGAAAAAGAATAAATAGGAGATAAATAATGTTTATCTAAGTTCAAGTAAAAATTATTGTGCTCCTATTCTTGGAAAAAAAAAAAAAANNNNAAAAAAAAGAAAAAGGGTCATAATATCAAAAATTGTGGTGTAGTTTGTGGAATATTTATTTTTTCTATAAGAGATGTGCAATATTTTTTAAACGTGCTTCAACACGGCCCAATTATTCGCGTTAGCCTTCGTGGGCCTTAACATATAGAAAACTATATTTATGCGTAGCAAATTGAGAAATTAACTAGGCTTATCTATAAATTTTTGTTCATTTTCACATTTAAGTATTTTTTTTAATTACAACTATATTAGATTATATGGTTTATAAATACTTGAGCTGTGCTTTATTTCTTGTTGTTGATTTTAAACTTTATTTAATTTTTAAATTATGATTCGTTTATGAATTGTTTATTTTAAATATCATATTTTACAAAACTTGTAATAAATTAATATGTAAACTGGCCTAGCAAACTTGTTTATGAAGAGCAAACTTGTTTATGAAGTTGTTATGTAGTCTTACATGCACATAGAACACTTGCATTGGCTCAATATGACCAATTTGGTGGTTGTATCTAACTTTAGAAGACACGTAAACTAGTTGAGCTTAAGGAGTTATTGATATTCAAGATCTGGTTTAAGCTTTTATCGAGTCGATAAACGAGCTCGAGTTTTGCTCGATTATCAATAATAATGAGCTTATTTTGAATGCTTAAACAAGTCAAAATAAGTTAAGAGTGTAACAATTAATTATACGAAGAACATAAAAAAAAAATTACAACTTGAGTTCAATTCGATTAAAAGGTATTGCATGTCCTATCTCTATATATCTGGGCTTGGAATATGCAAAGCTTAATTTGATGATTGGATCTCTTTCATGCTTGTCTAATATTAATTGTGGGGGTCAAATGACTTGCTCCCGAATTAAACAATTTGAATTTGATTTGATTGGAGATGACTTATTAGAGAACTGATTTATTCGATCTTTTTGGAAGGTAGATTTTGACATGTATTTGAATCGAATGCATGATTGAACTTCACGATGAATGCAATTTGAATGTCGCTTGAACACCGTTGATCTTTTTGGATTTGGTGAGAGGACTATATTTTGTCTCGGAATAGAGTCACCCCCTTTGTTTCTTCTTTTCGACATTCTTTTTTTTTCATCTTATTGTCTTTTTTCTCTATTGAACGTACATGCTCGAGACGTTGATCTACAATTTGAATGTAAAAAATAAAAAAA